CTTGTCTTTTTAATCTGTGGTACACCTCCATCTCATTCCTTCAGAGGACTCACCAAGTAGGCCTAAGCACTACAGTACTCTACATTTGATTGGGTTAAGTTCATACACTTACACCAGTCCCAGTACAATTTTGGATTAAAAATTCTTATCTTGCTCCAGTATTGACTGGGTTAACAGGGTCACACAATCCAATGGAGCTTTAACTGATCTAGTAAAGAATACTGCAATTGTCTATTAAAGCAGCATTGCTTAAAAGCATGGATCATAAATGCCAGAGGGTCAACACAGGGTGCCTTTCTGAGCACCCTTAGAAATTGGATGCAAACGTATGCTGAATGGAAAGCAACATTCCAGTTCCAGTATAAAATCTGAGTGTTTGTTTTGTGTGTGAATGTGTGTGTGTTTGTAACATACCATATTTATCATGACTGGACAGCATGGAGGTTCTCTGACCCTCAGTCTGCAAACAGAATTGCTACTGAATGGAGGAAATTGCAAGTGTGTAGGGATGGATTCACAAGCACCAAGTTGGAAGGGGAAGAACATAGAGGCTATGACTGTTGTTTCACTGTGGCTGTGCTTGGAGAAAAAGTGCTAAAAGCTGCTTAAATACTGCCTGTGTTTTGCAAGTACAGCATTTATGAGCAGTTGAAGAGAAGTTGATTTAGAGTAAGGTAAGGAAGCAGCTGTTTCTTCCTTGTTTTCCTAACTTTGGTGAATGAGAATGGTTGTTTCATTCTTCCTATTATTGAACAATATACATTTTATTTGCTTATTTCCAATAAAATACAATAATAACTTTATTTGCTATATTGATAAAAAAATTAATGATTAAAAGTGGTGTATTTCTTGCCCAACCCTAATCCCATTTAAATAATTAGCTTTATTGGAAGGGTCATACAAATTCATTTTATCACTTTAGGGGGTCCTGGTATCACAAACTTTGAGAACCTTTGTATTAAAGTATCCTACCTGACACATGGTATATAATGGTATCTGGCTTGAAAACTAAAAAGACACATAAAGGAAAGAGGGGGACTAGTTTTTACAGACCAATCTTGAATCCTACTGCCATAAGAAAATCTAAATTTAGTTTAATTTAATTTAATTTAATTTAAAATGAATTAATGACAGTTAACTGATGGCTGCCTATTTAATATAAAGTACACAGGGTGTAATTAAAAATATGGTTTGGTAATGACATTTAGAGAGGTCCTGGGGACCATTTATGGCTCAGGCCCACACCTAAAACAAACACTGAGCAAAATGTGTGAGTTATTCAGAATGTCATAGACATTTAATTTTAGTCTTTGGGGTGAGAAGTGTTTCTATTTTAAAAAATGTAATAGCTTCATCAACTTTTAGTCCATTTCTTAATCCAATTATTATAATTAATTTTTTTAAAAACAGGAATGAATAAAGACTTCAGGAAAAGCCTTGTGGGTCAAATTCAATTTTTTAAGCACATCTTCCCACAAGGAAACAAGGAAGAAATCGACCCTATCAGGGTTAAAGCACTACAGAACAGCAACAGAACACAAGCATTACAATACTTAGGTTTGTGAGGCAAACAAGACTTGGCAGAAACTAATAACAAATATTCCCTTAGCCAATGAAAAGATAAATATGTTTCCAGCATTGGGCTCGGTCTATATGTTATTCCTACTGGTGAAACTCACAGAGGGCTGACAAGTTCAAAATTAAACATTAGAGGTTATTTTACATACCGTATTTTTCCAACAATAAGACGCCCCCATGTACAAGACGCCCCCCACTTTTCCAGCCCAAAATTAAAAAATTAGTATTTTAAAGATAGTGCAGAACACATTTTTATTTAGTAATTAGTTAACATTT